GGAGGTGGAGGAGTAGGAGTGGGACGATGAGGAAGCTGAGGAGGACGATGAACAGGAGGAAGAGGACATGGAGGGGAAGGCTTACACCGAAGAGCATCAAAAGGATCAGAGGAGCCAGGCGGCGGAGGAGGGATGAGGATGAGGAGGGAAGTGGGAGTTCGAGTCAAGTAAGCCAGGACGAACGAGTCAGCGGGCCCGCCCACTTCCATCCTCTCCCCAGTAACATAACAACCAACGCTGGCGCAAGTTTATATTTGGACTGGCGCGTTCCCATCTAGCGAAAGGAAGGCGCTCGCGCGCGGTCCCGCTTTCGACGACTCGGCCAGGGAACAAAAACACGGGCCGCGGGCGGAACTTTCAGAACATCTTTGCGCGGCGCTGCGGCGAGAGCATCATTTAGCATTCCTTCGCGCGACCAAGTGTCCAATGAGAGCGTCGAAGGCAAAGCATGTGCCGCGCCGAAGCAGCATGCGACTTCACGCAAAAGCTGTGTAGCGTTTTGGCGAGAACACTCGCCCGCTCGCATGCGGCACCGCTGCCGCTTTCGGGAGACTTGGCGAGCGAACCAGATGTGACGTGTCCAAGCGTGGATGCCACTTTCACGAAATATCTGCAAATAGTGTGGGCGAGGGCGACACTTCGCCCGCTCGCGCGCGACCCTTCTTCCGCGATTGGGCGAGTGACAAATGTGCGCCGCGCTCCAGCGAGAGCGCCATTATTAGGTTTAGGTAGGGCATGTCCTCCTACAGGCGGATTTTGGGCGAGAAATACAAACTAGTCAAAACATGCTCAAACGTGGCAAAAAAAGTTGTGAAATCGTCCCCAGAGTATTCTATCGACTATTCTTGAACACTCCTCCTGTAGAGGGACATGCCCCACTTCATGGTAGTTGTTTTCACGTGCCGCAGATTTCGCACGCCTGCGCCCGGCTCCGCTGTGAAGCCGACTGGCGAGCGAAGGGTGCGGGCCGTGCCCGGGCGGGAGCTCAGCTCCCGAGGACAAGACGAGCGGGCCCCCCAGGCGAGCGCGCGGCGGCACTTGGCCCGTCTGCCCGCGAGATGCATCCCGCCCCGTGCGCGCCGCGCATGTTGTGACGAGCGTCCGTGGTGAGGGGGAGCGCGTCGACTGCGCATTGCTTCTGGCCCTACGTTGGGCCTGTCCCCCAACATGAAAGATAATAGGGTCGGCTGCCACATCTCGCGTCGGGTCTGTGCTCAAGCCTGCTTGCCGCCCCCCAGGCCCGCGCCCGTTCATGCTGGACTGGGCGTTCTGGGGGTCGATCGCCGCCCCGCTCGGTTCCGCTGTTTCGGCCGCCTCCAGCTCATATTGCTAGGGCTCGAGCCAGCCCCACACGTGTCTGCTGGTCGGCGGCCTCGCCATCCTGCTCGACATCCTGGTCGTGGTGTGCCTCGCGGGCTGATGCGGCCTCTTGGGGTTCGCAGCGGGCTTCGCGGCCGCCCACGCGGGGCCCCGAGCCCTGCTCCCCGCCGCCGAGGCGGCGGCCTCCGCGGGAGACGCAGCCGCCGTGCTGGCGCGCGTCTCGACCGCGGCCGCGCGGCGTCGTTTCCAGGGCTACGCCAACGGAGTGGGGCTGTGAATGCCCAAAACCACGCTCGAGGCCATCCTTGAGGCGCTGGCCCCTTTCGAGCTCGAACCCGAAGCCGAGCACGACGAGCACAGGGACCCCATCCTCGCACGGCTGCCCTTGCCAGGCCCCGAGCGCGGGCAGGAGTGGGAGCTGGTCGAGGAGCCCGAGTCGGACGACGTGGACGTGCCCGTCGCGTTCGAGGAGCCCTCCGAGGGCACCCAGCGGCAGGCCCTCTGCCTGTGGTCCGCCCCGCCCCGCGCCCCGCCGAGCGCGGGGACGCGGCGGGCTTTCTGGCTGGGGCGCATGGGCGGCCGCCGCGGGGCCGACGACGAGCCGCCTCTCGCCGAGGTCGCGCTCAACCTGCCCGCGAACCGTCTTTACGTGGTGCTGCGTGCTGCCCCTCGCCATGGGGTGGCTGGAGCTCGCGCGCGTAGTGCCCGCGCCCACTTTCGGGCCCTCCTCGCCGAGGGCAGCGGCGGCGCGGCCTGGCCCGCTCCGGTGTGCCGCGGGTTCGCCAGCCTCGTGGAAGCCGAAGCCTACTTCGAGGGAGCTGGTTTCCCTGCCTGCCTCGCTGATCCAGGATGTCGGTGGCAGCCCCCGCGCTCCAGGTGGGCGATTTGACGCTAGCCACTTCTGGAGCGGTGGATCCATGGCGCCTCGAGCTCAGTTCGAAGCACTGCGAGGCCATTCCCGTGATTGCGAGAGCCGAGGGCCTCATGGTGGCGGTGCCAGAAGCGATGATAGATCCTTCTCAGTCGAGCCGAGCTCGCGTGGCGGGCCCGCGGGCGCGGACGGGGTTTCGCTAGCTCACGGCGGTGCCGCTCGGCGCCGACGGGGGCCCGCCGACCGAGGTCGAGATCTACCTGGTCGATTTCGCGCTGAAGGTGCTGGAGCGGCTGCAGTCCCTGGCGGACTCGGACTTCCTGGAGGCGGAGCTGTCGACGCGTCGGAGACCCTGCCCGAGGCGACGGCCCCGGTGGATGGGGGCCGAGGAGTGGCTGCAGACGTCGGGGCTTGCGCCCCGCATCAGCTACTACACCGCTTCGGAGGGGGAGCTTCCCGCGGCGCCGAAGCCCCCCCCGACCCCGCCTTGGGGGGCGGTGCCGGCCGAGGAGCTGGCCGCCCTGATCGCTTCGACGGTGGCCGCAGCCTTCGCCCCAGTCACGGAGCGGCTCGGCGCGTTGGAGAGACGGCCAATAGGCGCCGCCGCGCCCGCAGGTCCGCCCCCCCTGCGGGCTGCGGGGGCCATGCGAGCCCTGGCGCCGCCCCCGGCGGAGGCGAAGGTTGCGGCGGGGGGCCGTGGCGAGGCGTCTTCTCGCGGCCGCGCCGGGGCGCCTGCGGGGGCCGGGGCCCTTCGCCGCGCCGCCGCCGCCGCCCCCTCCTGTGCCGGTCGACGTCGACGCCGATGACCTGGGCGACACCCAGACGCAGCTCCCGCTCCACGCCCAGGCGCTGGTGAGGCTGACGGGGACTCACGGCGCTGGCTCGAGCGGGGACGTGGCGGGCCCCACAGGAGGAGGGGCAGGCGCCGACATGCTGGGCGACCTGGCGCGCTCCTCGACGAGCTCCGTCGGCGTGCGCGGCTCGGCCAGCCGACTCAGGCTCCAACGGCTTCTGGAGGCGCAGCCTGGGGCGCTCTCGCTGTCGATGATCCGCAACGTGGCGAGGTGCTTGGGCCCTCTTCAAGCTCCATGGGGGAGTGCCCGATGCGCTGGAGTACTTGGAGCGCCTCGGGGGCTTCGCCGACAGCTTCGCAGGGCGGCCCGCGGCATGCAAGGCCACTTTTGCGGCCGCCGCGCTGAACCACCTGATGCGGGGGGAGTGCGACCAGGCCGCTGACATCGCGGCCCTGGCGATGGTGGCGCAGGAGCAGGCCACGCTGGACCACGGGCAGTGGACCGCGGCCTGGCTGCTGACCCGGCAGGAGGACCCCCCGCCCGCCATGCTCAGTCGCAGGGTCGAGCAGGCCCCGCTGTGCAGCTTCTCGGCTCTTGCCGACCCCGAGTGGGCGACGGTGGCCCTCGCCTAACTGAAGGAGCTCGGCGGCCGAAGGCCAAGGGGGAGTGGCGACCCCTTTCGGCTGGTGCAGGGTGCTCACCAGGATGGTCATCCGCGTCGGCTGTTCGGTACCTGAGTGCCGCACTCAGCGCCGAGCGCGAGGCTGGGATGAGCCTCGCTACTGGACTCTTCACGCTGCCGCTGCCGTACACCGAGCAGAAGCTGCAGTGGCTTGCCCCCAGATCTCGCCGTGGGCGCCGCCGAGCGTGCTGGCTGGAGGCTAGGGCCGGCGCTTGCAACGTCGTCGCGATGGCCCTGGATTCACGCACAACAACAAGCCGCACTACCTCCAGGCGGGACCTCGGGAGACAGCTCTCCCCCAGTCAGCGGCGAGTCGTCGAGCGGATCGAGCTGTTCCTCAGTGCGTGGTGCCGCGCTGTTGTTTCTACGGGCCTGCAGTGTGGCCGAAAGGGATTTTGAATTTTCGATGGGATTGCCCATCTGGCAGGGGCCAGCGGTGACCTCCTGCGTGGCTTGGACCCTTGCCATCTGGCGCCGCTACCTGCTGTCCGCACCAAGCCTGCGATCGCGGCAGTTGGATCGCTAGACCCCATCGCGTTTGAGATTCCCCGAGGGCCTCGCTAATTGGGGTGCCCCCGACTTCGTGCCGCCCGAGCTGTGGCTGCTCCTCGTCGAACCTCGCTGCCTGCGCACGTGGGCGCCGTCGCCTTCCTCGTGGCCCTGGTCCTCGGCGCATCTGGTGGGGGCGGGGGCGGACTTGCAGCTGCGGCGCCCGCGGGGCGCCGCGGGCTTTCTGCGCCTTGCCCGCGCGGGCTTCCCTGCCCATGCGGCGAGCCAGGCCGGCGAAGTCTTCAAGGGCGCGGATCGCCGCCGAGGACCAAATTGGCTCGAAGGACGTCTGACCGAGGGCCCTTCGGGGGGACTCGCTGCGGGCCCGCGCATGGCCGACCTTCGCGCGGCGACGGGGTCGAGCACGTTGCGGGCGTCGGCGCTGGATTGGAAGGACTTTATCTGCGGCGTTGCTGAGGCACCTGGCGGCGCGCTGAGGCGCCGCCCGTGCGGCCCAGCCTCGCGTATCCGAGGGTGATGACCATGCGGCGGTGGGCCTGGCTCATGGGGGCCCACGGCGAGCTCCTCCGCCGTGGAGGCTGCCTCGCCGACTCGGAGACGATCTGCGGGATGGAGCCCGTCCCCGAGGGCCTCGTGGTGCAGGGGTTCTGCATCGACGACTACTTCATGGTGGAGCAGTTTCTCGTGCGGAGCGCGCGCTCTGGAGCTGGGGCAGACGCGGCCCTGCTGGCCGCCGCCCGCCAGGCCTGCGCCCGAGAGGGGCTGCCCGAGTCGACCTCGAAGGTGCTCGCGCAGGAGCGCAGAGATAGACGGCAGGCAGGGGCGGGCTCAGCGGGGGCACGTCGCCGCGGGGGCCCCGCTGGAGCGCCGCCTCGCCCTCTAGGCGCTGAGCCTCGCGGCGGCTCGCCTGAAGGCCGCGAGCGGGCGCTTGCTGGCCACCCTGGCGACCTCGTGGATTGCGGTCTTCGCCGACCGCCGCCCTCGCACGTCGGTGCTGGACCGCATCTTCAAGGTGCCCGGCGTGGCCGAGGCGGGTTCCAAGACGCGGAAGGCCGAGGGCGCCGCCAAGCTGGACGCCGTCAACGGTCTGTCGAAGCCCTTGAAGGATGAGCTCGCGCTGGCGCCCGCTCTCGCCCCGACGGCGGTCGCCGACATCTCCGCCCTGTGCGACGACAGGGCCCGCGCCATGGATGCGTCTCCATCGAAGGGGGCCGTGGTGAGCACTCCCGCTCTTGCCTGCATGGTCGCCCACCTCCGGCGATGCGGGGAGCGGCGCGGGGGCGCTCCCGCTTCGAGTCGGCGCCGGGAGTGGCCCTGAGGGAGGTCGGCCAGCTGGGCGCCAGCACTGGGTCGGACCACTCCGAGGAGGTCCTCGACGAGCCTGGGTGGCTGGACCACCCCTCGCGGCCTCTCGCCCTGTTCTACGCGTTCCTGGAGATCGGAGACGGCGGGGGGGGCAGAGCCACCCAGGAGGTGGTCAAGCTGGGCCTGATCTGCGGGCCCATCCTGGACTTGAGCTACAGCGTCTGGTGCGACCTCGGCGACCTGCGTCTCGTGGAGTGGATCCTCTGGCTCATCTGGTCACGGCGGGTCCTCGTGATGGTCGAGCCCCCGCCGTCGAGCTTCTCTGGTTTTCGCAGGGCAGGGGGGCGGTCTTGGGCGGGGCCCGAGGGTTTTGACTGGCTCGACCCCGCGGCGCGCCTCGGCAACACCCTGGATTTCCGCTGCCTCGCGCTGCTGGTGGCGGCGGACCTCGCTGGAGTGGCGGGGCTTGTCGGGATCCCGAAGGGGTCTAGGATGCGGCAGCTTGCGGCCTGGCGGCGCCTGCGCGCGCGGACCAGCTTCTCGGCGAACTGGTTCTTGCTCGTTCGGTTTCGCTTGCAAGAAGGGGCTTGCGTTCATGGGCGTGCGGTCCGACGTGAATGGGGTGCGCCGTCGGTGCCCTGGCGGCCGCGCCCACCCTTCCACCGTGAAGGCGGACAGCGTGGAGTCGGGCCTCTTCCCGAGCGGCGCGGCGGTGGCCGCGGCTATGGTCGCCAAGGCGTTTGTCCGCAGGCTCCAGTTCGCCGAAGAGGAGCAGTGACCTCAAACCCAGGCTCCGAGCAGCTGGTGATGAATAAGATCCCCCCTCGCCAGCCATTGGGAGGTGAACCGTAGTTGGCGCCGGAAGTGGCCCGCGCCTTCCGGAGCCCGCCGTCGCGAAGAGCTGGCTGGAAGGCGCGGCGCGGAAAGGAGGGGGCCGCCGAGTCTTCGGGATCCTGGATTTCCGCGTCGCGATGTGCTCTACTGCGAAGGGCCTTTCGCCTTCGGCTGCTCTCCAGCGGAGCCTTGGTCAGTCCGGTGCGATCACGGTGGGTGGGGGGGGGGGGCATGCCCAAGCTTCGGTTTCTCCCCCTCGAGGTTCAACCCGTCCGACGCGCCGACGCGGGATAGGGATGTCGACGATCCGCGTCGGCCTCCGCCGTCCTGGCTTGCCGAGCCAGCGTCGTGGGAGGCGGCCCCGCGGCGCCCGCCCCGCTGGCGGCCCGGTGGCGCCTCGCATTCGGGAAGGCGCCCGCGCTGCTGCAGAAGCCCAACGCCGCCGCCGCCTGGGCGCGGTGACAGCGCGCCTACTGCAGGTGCCTCTTCGGGCGTCGGCCGCCGTGGAACGTGCCGGACGACTTCGACGCGGGCGCGGGGCCTTCTTCGACCAGAGCGTCTTCGGCGGCTTCCCTGGGCAGGGCTGGCGCGCGGGCTTCGCGGCGCGCGTGGCGAAGGTCTTCGCCGCAGGGGTGCGGGCGAGTGAGGCCGCCTCCCCCGCTGGCGGTCCAGGCGGCGCGCTGGCCTCCGCCCTGGCAGGGAGCGGGGCCCTAGCGGACTTGCGGGCTGGGTCCCGAGCCGTTCCCGCTGGCGCGCCTCCGCCCGCCCGTGGCGACTCCGCCCGCGCTGCCGCCCGCTCTGCTCCGCTGCCGAGGGGGCGTCCCGTCGGAGAACGGGCCCGCGGGCGGAGGTCCGTCTGCTTGCAGTGGCTCGACAGCTGGCCCCAGGGGCGCGGCTACCACCTGGCCGACCTCCTGGGAGCGAAGGAGCCCGACATCTACCTGATCAGCGCGCTGCTGGAGCAGTACGGCCACTTGCCGTGGCGCTCGGGGGCCGCCAACTACAGGCTGTCCGAGACGATCAATGCAGTCTCGCGAGTCCGCGGGGAGCTCCGACGCTCCCTCGGGAGAGCATGGGGCGTGGCCTACAGCTGGTTGGATCAGGAGCCTGCAGGCCATCACGTCGCCGTGCCCGTGACCGTCCTGAGGTCCCTTGTCGCGCTCGCGCCCCCCTGGGGCTGCCGCGAGCTGGCGCGGCATGCTGAGGCCCGTGGAGTTTCTGAGTGCTGAGAGGGGCGATCTGATCTTTTCTGCTGACGTCTTGCATGCTGTCGCCCATGTGCGTTGGTCCATTCAAGAGCCGAAGACAAAGCGGCTGGGGGCCAGGGCACAGCTGCTCGAATCGACGATGTGCAGGTCATCCAACTCCTTTCGGCCGTCTTCGCTCGCCTCTCTCCCCCAGCCCGCCTCTGGCCGATGGGGCAGGGAGGATTCAGGAGTAGATTTGTCGCCCTCTGTCGTGCGCTCGGCCTGCCCACAGGGAAAGGAGGAGGCCTCGACTCGGGTGCCCTCAGAGCTGGCGGCGCCACGGCACTTTTTGAAGCGACGGAAGACGGGGAATTCGTTCGGTCTCGTGGAAGATGGCTCCAGACCCGTACGATGGTGATCAACATGCAGGAAGTCACCGCCGCCAGCTCCGTTCCGCGCCTTGAGCCCAGGGCCCGTAATTATCTCTCATAGGCTCTAGAGCTGGCCACTGCCTGGGCGACCCAGGGCATCCCCCCTGGTCTCTGGCCAGGTCTCTTCCAGGATGTCTTTAAGTAGAATCGTCAGCTGTCTCTATCAATGCTTGGCCAGTTTGGCTAAAAGGTGGTCCTCCGTGCAGTGGCACCGTTATATAGACATATGCGCATATATGTATATAGAGATATCAACATCTTCGTCTAGGCTGTCGAGATACAGCTTGGATCTCGCTGTGGGGCCAGTGTCGTGCTCGTGGATAATATGTCTGGCCCGGCCGATCGTTCTGACTGCGCTCGAGTGGTTGAGAACGATGCTTGAACTTCTGAGGTCGGCGCGAGTAAGAAACATATAGCCCTTAGTTTTGAACGTTGTTTTCAATGCTTGTTTGCGTTTTTTGTTTCAAATCCGCCTGTCGGAGGACATGCCCGAGCTAATTCTAGCAGGAAGGGCGAAGGGACCTTGATGCGGGGGCTATCAGTCGTGCCAGAGGGGGGGTATGCTTGAACAGAAAGATAGGATCATGGTGAAAAAGCGCGGCCCTGCGGTGTTCTGCTAGAACGTAGCCTCAGTGGTCATGGCCGGCGGCGGCGAGACAACACCGCCCTATTTTTATGGACGCGCATCTGCACACCCCAGTCCTCCTCATCATGATTCGTCCTCCTTCCCTTTCCTTGTTCGCCCCCATTCCCCCTCCCCGTCATCCGACGTCTCGTGTAGCGTTCCAGGCTTGACCACCGAACCTCCGTCTTACATTGTGGCGGCATGCGTATGATGGTTGTTTGACAAACGCCACGTCGGAGGGAGGGTTGCCTTGCGAGCTCCTTCCCGCATATACTGCTCACGCTGTCAACGTTTCCCTTGTCACGGGCATCTTTTGGGGGCCTCGTGGCGGCTCGTCGGGGGGGCTGTTGGTGGCATGTTGGGAGCTGGTCGGCATCTTTGGGGCTTGTTGGACCAACTAGGGCGATCTTGGAGACACTCTCGGACCTGCGCGGGCCACATCACTTCCGAGGCACATCGGGCAGTTTTTGGGGCCGTCTTGCCGGCCCCTGCCCGTGGGCCGTCTTGGCGCCACCTCGCGCCCTGATGGGACAACCAGGGTGCAGGCGGCAAGACATTAGATGAGCTGGGGTTTTGCCGCCGTGTTCTCCGCCTCGGGAAAACGATCTCCCATTCCGCCACCGTGCTGTGGTCGTGTACCAGAAGCATCGCTTTTTACATAGTCGATCGGGACACATTTTGGCGGCTTCTTGGAGGCCTCTTGGGGGCCTCTTGAGGATCTCTTGGGAGCGTATTGGGGGCCTCCTGGGGGCCTCTTGGGGCCTCTGGTGCGCCTCTTTGGCGTATGTTGTTGGTTTCGGGGGCCACGTTGAGGTGGAGGTCTCCAACACATGAGTTCGAGTTGTTCCTCTCGGGCCCGTATTGGGGCCCTCATGGGTGGCCTCTCGGGCCTCTCTTGGAAGCTGGGGGGCCATCGTTGGCGATCTTGGAGGCCTCTTGAGCCGTCTTGGACGCCAAGACGGTAAAGCAGATTATGGTCAACTCGCACCCAAACTTACGGGATTTGGGCGATAGTGGCCTGTAGGGCTTGTCGCCAGGGCCTCCGAGACGGTCCAAAAGGCACCCAAGAGGGCTCAGGACGGCCCACATGGGACCATCTTCGAGCGCGCTGGCAGCTTGATTCAGAACGACGCTCCCGAGGTCTCTGGAAAAGTGCCAAGAGTGCCAAGAAGCGTCCAGAACTTCCGTCAGTGGGGGGTGAAGGGCCCACCATGGCATTCACAGTACTCAAGACGCCAGAGGACCTGAGAACACTTCACTCAGTGCCTACGGCACGGTGGCGGAATTGATCATCAGAGGCCACTTTGAGCCACCCTGAGGCGCAGCTGCAGCATCCTGCGTCGTGGAAGGCATCGTGGACGATCCTGGGAGATCTTGGGGGCATGCGTGCATGATGCAACGCGTATCGGATCAGGTCTCCCCCGTCCCCGCCCCCAAGCCCCCCCCCCCCTTTCTCTTGCCCCCACCGTGCATGGCCGAGACGCGGCCGCTGCCCTCCTCCCCGCCGCTGGCGCACGGCTCCCGCCCTCCTCCCGCCGGCCGTCGGAGCCGAGGCGCGGCGTGCTCCAGGCGTCCAGCGGGAAGGGGGGCCACCCCGAAGAGCTCCTGGGAGGCCTGGAGCCCAAGGCGGCGGTGCTGCGCTTTCTCGCCGAGCTCTCCGGGCAAAAGAAGCTGTACAGGACTCGGGGGCTCACCAACTTTGAGCCATGCCCCTGGGCACTTGCCTCCGCCTGCGGGCGGGCGGGCGCGCAAAGACACAACTGCGGCCCCTTCTCTCGAGTCTCCTCCCCCACCAGATTCAGAAGCCAGGCGAAGGCCGGCAAACCCGTGGCTGCTAAAACGGAGCTCCGGGAAGTTTTTTTTTTTTGTTTTTTGTCTTGTTTGGTTTCTGGGAAGCAGCCCGTTTACTATTTAGTGCGCTGAGCTTGATTCCCGGAATTCGTTTTTTTTCTTCCGGGAAGACCGTTCTAGCAGCCACGGATCTGCCAGCCCTCGCCCAGCTTCCAACAGATGGTGGAGCTATCTGTGCGTTCCAGTGCGGACCACGGGAGGGCTCCTATCGTGCCCGCCAACATGTGATCAGTCAATTGGTTCTTGCTCGGCGAGGAGAGCCCGCGCAGTTAAGGAGGGCAAGCAGAGCAGCTAAGCCTCGGACCATGTTGGCTGGACGTTCGTGGCAACCACAGGAGAATCGAACCACCGATGGCAACTGATGCCAGAACCCTGTGGCCAGATCCCGAACCATACAGACAACTGCCGGAGAACCAAGCTATCGAAGGCAACAACAGCCGAAGCTTTGTGGGCAGGAGTCTATGTGCAAGCAATCACCAGAGACGGGCCCGTAGAATTTATGAGGCCCATGCCGACATGTTCGAGAATTCTAGACGTTTCGCGTAACCCCACCAGTAGCTCCCGCCCGTCCCGTTTGACGCCGCCTGCGCCTTCGCTTGCGGCTGCGACAAAAAGTAACCCCACCAGTCGTTCGGGGTGCCCCTGGGCTCCTGGGCCTGCGACTCGCCTGGAATCCGCTGGCTCTGCCCGCATGGGGTTGACGGACGCCCGGTCCTCCCCCACGTCGCCCCCCCCCCAGGGACGGTTACTGTCCCTGGCTTTGGCTCTCGCAGCTTCCAGCGCAGGGCTGCGACCTTCTTCCGCTGGTTCCCCGCCTCTACTGCTCCCGCGCCGCCCACGCGATGGCTTCCGTCCCCCCGCCGTGGTGGCGCTCCCGCCGCTTCCACGCCTCCGCTCTTGGCGATCCGGACCCTCTCCGTTGAGCGCCTGCACGCCTTGTTCGACGTCCTCTTCGGCTGCGTCACGGCGGTCACCGAGTTCGTTGGCTTCTTGCTCTTCGTCATTTTGGCGCTGCACGTCACGTCGATTTGTGATTCTTCCTGGTTCTCCGCGTTTCCTGAGCCGCAGCGTAGCCCGCTCCTGTGCGCTCCGGTGCGTAATTTAGGCCGTTGCGTTGACGTTTCGTTCTGACGGCGCGCGGCTGTACCGCTTGCGCTCGCGATCAAAAAAGTAGCCCCGCCAGCCCATCCAGAAACTATGCCCAGAGGAATTGCCTCGATCAGGGAAGTGGGCAGCACGCAGAGGAAGGGTCCCCCCAGTGGAGGCATCCTGGAGCGTCTTGGGGGCCTCTTGGTTGTCTTGGGCGCCTCTTGGAGCGTCTTGGGTGCCTCGGAAAGCGTCTCGGGGCCTCTTGGGGGTCTCTTGGGAGCCTCTTGGAGGCCTCTTGGGCGCCTGTTGGGGCCTCCTGGGCGCCCCTTGGGGCCCTCTTGAAGCGCTCTTGGGAGCCTTGGGAGCGCTCTTGGAGCCATCTTGGAGCTACCTTGGAGCCATCTGGATGCGTGGGATGGCCATTGGAAGCGAAAAGGCGAGAAAGCCAAAGACATTGCTTTTCCGAAGGTTTTGGAAGGAGTTCGGCCTCTTCGGGGCCTTCTGGAGGAGCTCTTTGGCCACTTGGAGCCGTCTTGGAGCGGTCTTGAGCATCGTGGGGGCCATCCTGAGGCATCTTGGGATATCTTGAGCCATCTTGGAGGTTATCTCGGGCTCCCCCAGGCGCTCCTCGAGTCATCTTAAGCAGTGCCCCCTCCCCAAAGGCCAAAATGTGGCCAACCCCTTCGTGAAACTAATGATTTCGGCATTGTCGCCGAGGCCTCTTGGAGCGTCTTGGGTGCCTCTGGGGGGCCTCTTGGGGCCTCTTGGGGGTCTCTGGGGGGCCTCTTGGGGGCATATTGGGGGCCTCTTTGGAGCCTTTTTGGAGCCTCCTGGCCACCTCTTGGGGCCCTCTTGGGGCACCCTTGGCAGCCTTGGGAGCGCTCTTGGGGCCATCTCGGAGGAGATCGATCAAAGAAGGGAGGTCTTAATTAGCGCTGCCCCCCCCCCCCAACTGGCCAAAACGGGGCCCAAACTCAAGTAAAACCAATGATTTGGGCTTCCTCGCCGAGGCCGTTTTTTGGATGCCCCAGCGACTCGCGAAACGCCCCGTCCAGGTCCAGGGGAGGGGGTGGGGGGAGGGGTCAAGAACCCGTCCCCGCCCGCAAGCCGTCTCGCTCACTCCCACCCGCCCTCCCAACACATACGTGGCACCCGAGTTTGGCCCGAGCCCGAGCACACTCAGCAGTCGTCTTTGGATGGGCAGCTACTGGGGGCCAGTCCGCCGCCGCCGCCGCCTCCGCCGGCACCGCCGCCGCCGCCGCCGCCGCCGCTGCCCGCCGCCTGCCGCCGCCGCCGCCGCCGCCGCCGCCTGCCGCCGCCGCCGCCGCCGCCGCCGCCGCCGCCGCCGCCGCGCCGCCGCCGCCGCCGCCGCCGCCGCCGCCGCCGCCGCAGCCGCTGCCGCCACCGCCGCCGCCGCCGCCG